TCCTTTCTGCTGAACGGGATTCCATCCGCAGTGCCATCGTTGTTGCGTTGGGGTCTATTCATCAAAACCTCTATCGCACGCTCCTTGAGTCTTTGCAGTATGCCGTCACTACTTGCAACGAGGAGGCGAAGATGAGAATTGGCAACCACTACCGCAGTCCTAGCAGCCCCCGCCGGAACAGGAAGACTGATCGTTTGCGCACCGAGGTAACGAATGTTTACAAACTCACATCTCACTTCCTTCAAGACCCCGAGGTTTACAATGACGACTGGATCGTCAACAACCTTGTTACATACGCAAAAGACATTCGAATTTTCCTAAGTGATGCCGAGGTTCAGAACGACTGGGAATTCCAGCGCTTGCGATTCCATTTCTGCGGACTGATGGAGGAGATCTTTGAAGGTATTAATCGTGCTAAGGATCCTTCTCGCTGGATGCCTTTCGAGTCGCGGAAGTCTGCTTTCTCTCTTATGGAAGACTGGTGTGGATACTCGCCAAATCAATCTCAAATCTCTGAAAGAGAGGAGAATATGCGCAAGTTTCGCATGGCCCGGCCACATGAGACTGGTGAAATGAAAAATACCGCTGCTGCTATGGAGATTGAGAAGAAGAATCTACGCGCGGCAGCCTTGAGTGCAATGGCTTTCCTCTGTGCTGGCCCCATCAGCATCACCACTGAAAGTGGTTCTGTCCTCCAATTCGACGTCACTCGCATGCTTTCATGGATTGAAATGATCTTCAACACTGTCAGTGACAAATGGCATGCCATCGGCCGCCGGGCTCTGAAGAACCTCATCATTCACAATCAGGAACACTCCTATCTGATGGAGCGATCAATTGAGATGTGCTATGTTACCGAGCGGCCCAAGACCATTGAGAGCTACTTCGAAGTGGTGATGCAGGTGCTTTTTGAATATCCGGACTATCCACTGGAATTCTGGAGAGTTCTAGGAGCAGTCTTGGTGACACTGGGCAACGAAAAACGTGAGATCCGAATGAAGTCTGCTAAGCTTCTCCGAAAACTTGAGGAACGCCAGCAGAAGAACTCCAGGATTCAAGACTTTGATATTAGTATCTCAGACAAGACTACCGCAGTGTACAAGCTGGCCCAGTTCGAGATTTCGAAAAGATTAGCTAGTCAGCATTCTGACTTAGCATTCGCTATTTTCTCGGAGTTTTCTTTGCATTTCCGCGTTCTTGGACCTGATAGCCAGCGAAATATGGTTGCTGCCATCCTACCGTGGGTTCAAACGATGGAGCTACAGGTTGACCCGAATGGCGGCCCTACAGCCAAGTCATACATGTTGCTCGCAAACCTTTTTGAGATCACCATTCGTTGCAGTTCAGTCCTGCCTAACCAAGTGCAAGCACTGTGGCAGGCCTTAGCAACAGGCCCTCACGGGGGTAATGTGCAACTGGTCCTCGACTTTATCATCAGCATCTGTTTGGAACGCAAGGAGCAAAACTTTGTGGATTACGCCAAGCAAATGGTCGTGTTCTTGTCTGGGACTCCAGCAGGATCAAAGGTGATCGAGTTCTTTTTGTTGCAGGTTGTGCCAAAGAACATGGTGCAAGAGCGGAAAGAACTCACTCCACCTCCTCCTGACATCGCAAGTCTGCCATATGTTGCAGATCTTGGGGTAGTGCTCCCTGTCGGAAACAAACAAGCTGGTCTATCCCTTGGACAGGTTGCCCTGATATTCCTCGTTGATCTGATGGTCGCTCCGGTGACTCTCGCTCTGAGTGATGTTGTCAAGCTGATCCACATCGTTCTCATCCTCTGGGATCATTACACAATGACTGTGCAGGAACAAGCCCGTGAGATGCTGGTACATCTTATCCACGAACTGATAGCGGCGAAACTTGAGGACGATGCCCCGGCGGGTGCCCGGCAATCGGTCGAAGACTTTGTGGAATCAATCCGTAAGAGCGACCCCGCGGTTGTTTGGGAATACGAAGAGAACCATAGTAAAGATGAAGAGATCGATGATCGCCGGGTTCCTGCATCTATGGCTACTGTCACCCGTGAGGTCGTCAGGTTCTTTAGCTTTGCTTACGAAGGTGTCGGCGATCTGTGGGCCAAGGAGGCATTGAACTGGGCCACCTCGTGTCCAGTACGACATTTAGCATGCCGCTCCTTCCAGATTTTCCGCTGTATCTCGACATCATTAGATTCGCGGATGCTAGCTGATATGCTCGCCCGGCTTTCAAACACCATTGCAGACGAGGAAACGGATTACCAAACATTCTCGATGGAGATTCTTACTACGTTGAAGATCATCATCAGCTCCCTAGCGCCATCAGATCTTTTGGATTATCCTCAGCTCTTCTGGACGACATGTGCTTGTCTCAACACAATCCACGAGACTGAGTTCATTGAGAGTATTGGCATGCTTGAGAAATTCCTCGACCGGGTCGATCTCAGTGACTCAGTTGTGGTCGCCAACCTCATCGAGGGCCAGCCACCAAACTGGGAAGGCGGCTTTGATGGTATCCAGGACCTTGTCTTTAAGGGAATGAAATCGTCCGAGTCCTTTGATCGTACGCTCGATCTGCTTCATATTCTTAGTGGTCTTCCAAACAATGATCTCATCGGAGATGGAACTCGACATCTGTTTACTGTGTTGGCTAACCTGCCCCACTTCCTTCAATGCTTCAAGGAAGGGTTCAACGACCCCAAGCCCATCGCTCGTGCCAGCATACTTGCCCGCGTGGCTGAGAATGAGGGATGCCCTCGCCTCGCAGCATCTTTGTTTGGGTTTGCCAATCAGCAGTACAAGACCGCCGGGGTCTTCCTCGACCATATCATCACCGAGATCAAGTCATACTACTTCCCCCAGCTGGACTTCCAGTGTCTCATCTTCCTCATGGGACTTCTCACCAACACCACGGATTGGTTCCGCATCAAAACCATGAGGATCCTCTGTGTGTTGATTCCCGAGGTGGATATGCGACGCAATGAAGTCACTTGCCATGGCCCAGATCTGATCTCCCCACTGCTCCGGCTTCTGCAAACCGACCTCTGTCCTCAGGCCCTAGAGGTTCTGGATAATATCATCACGGTCTCGGGGAATCCAATGGAGCGCCAACATCTTCGGATGAGTATGGCGTCGGCAGCCTCTTCTCGTGCTATCCGCAAAGAGTACGAGCGAATTCAGAGTCTATACGGAATTCCTGAACCGACGGGATGGTCGGTTCCTATGCCTGCAACCCAGTCAAGCACGACCCGGCACAACGTCCACGCTGTCTTCTACACATGTGTTGAAGCCGAAGACAGGCAAGAGGAAGATGCTAGGACACCTAGCGTGGCCTTCCATGCGGATGAATACAGTGACTCGTTCTTCCCAATGAGAGCTGATACGATGAAATCAATCGATACGCAGGTTGATGGCAATATGGGAGATATCGTGCAGAAGCTGGACAGCTTAGATGACTTCTTTGAGGATACTGATACAATCACTCCTGTGCTGAACCCCATCGCTCCTCCGATGCTGCGAGGATTCACTGGTAACTATGTGGATACCAACGCACATCTGTATGATCAGCAGACCGCGCCAATTTTGCGGGAATCACTCGCTCGGACAGGTTCTACATCGTCTTTCCATAATGGTCTTGCCGAGTCTCGCCCTCCCAACATCCGCTTCGACGGTCCGGGTGTGTACTCCCCGGTAACGGCGATACCCCAAAACGCACAGCTACTACGATCCGGTTCCCATACCCGCTCTGTCACTTCCCCTGCCAACAACATGTATGCGCACACGGCTTCCAATGCCCCCAATTCCACACTGCCGGTTGCATTCGGCGATTCCGCTTTACTGTCCGATGAGGATCCGGACGAGGTGCATTCGGACTTAGACGAACGCCCGGTAACCAAGAAGATGATCACTCCACCTGCACCCATGATCCGCAGTGCAACTGATGGACCACACTCCCTGGAATCAAGGATTCGCAACGGCATGCGGAGGCTGACTGGCGGCGCAGCCAACAGAGAAAAAGAGCGACAGCGGGACCTCCTTCGCTCCCAACACCGCGCCATTGTGCAAACGGCCAACTCACCCCGCGTCCCTAAGGTACCCGAGGAGTATCTCTCGGGACCTACCAGTCACCCGGCATCACCGAGGTGAGGTTGGTACATATCTTTGCCCTTAACATACGTTTCTGCTTTGTCGTTTCGCTTTTTCTTTTCTGTTGTCAGTCCTTTTCTAGGCTGCCTGGGCATTTCTTGGGAGTTTGGATCACTTTACATACATACCCCTTACTCGTCCATCTACTTCGCGATCGATCTTGTCTATCTAGCGTTGATCCGCGCCTCTGCATCCTGTACAATCCATGTAGTCAGTCATATCCTGGAAGTTGATGGGCTTACATATTAGGTGTTTGTCATTTCAATACCGAAGTCAATACATTTGAATTTCCAAGGTCATGATGTTGTCAGAGTTCAAGTTTATGCGTCTTTATCAAGAATACCACGTTGTATCTATACATTACGAAGCGAAGCGCAGAACATTAAGGAGGACCCCCTGCCGAGCCGCTATACCGAGAAAAGTTGCCAACTACGTCCCCGTGTATGCGAATGAGTTCCTGGCAGTTGAAACAAGGTCTGACACCCTCTTCCATGTCTCTCCACGGAGAGAATCTTGGTATTCTGCCGGGCCCAGGTCTTTCCACTGCAAGGAAATCCCATACACGTTGCGGTTTTCTTGGAAAATATAGCAGTCACGAACTACTTTTTCCGATTCAGGAAGGAATAACCCATACTAAATCATGGAGCCGAGCACCCGTGTTTTCAGTGACTGTCGTCGGCTTTCTCCCTTCAAGACAGCAACGATTTCACCGAGCGTCTCCGGTAAAAGAATCCGGGCCACTTCTTCAGACATCTGGTAGACCATGTAGAATTTCCCACTCGCCTCAAAAAGGACTTCCCCCCCCCTGAGCATCGCACATGATAGGGATGCATTTCCCAAGCTCATATTTAGTAGCGACATGATATCCCCAAGAATCTACCGCTGCCCATTCACCCTCGTAGTCAAGCTCTTCCGGGTCCATTGTCCATCCCGGTGGAGGGGACACCTAGGTACATTATCAGTATCACATAATCGTGCGCTCATCTCAGATGTTTGACCTACAGAATATTCTCTGCCCACCATAGCAATCGGAGTACGGAGTAGTATGGGGGGATCTGCGTGATGTCAAGCCGGGTGACCCACTCGAGCGGAATCTTAATTACCGCCTTCTTAATGGATGCAACCGGCAATTCTGCCAACATATCTTCCATGGAATTTATAGTAGAATCGAAATTGGCACTTTTTCTTATAGCTTCAGGGCACCAACTAACTGTGGATGCGCACGGGGCATCTTTCTCATGACAGGCATTTGGAGTACATCACTGCTCAATTTGTTATTACCTAGGCAGCACTAAATCGAGTACATACCTAGAGGGGAAAAGTGACTGTATTATGTATATTTTTGGGATAATTCTACCCTAAGATTGGCCATATCGGTAAGAGTGACTGGAGGTCGTCTTAAACCTAAAATTTATTGCTTTTCAAGCTATGAAGATATACTCATTCACAATTACGAGGTCTAGATCGGAGAAGCAAAGGTCCGTAGTCTTTACTGGTCCCTCCTTTGGAGCCCAGAAAGTCCCTTTTGTCGGGGCTGGCTGGAATTCTGTCTCAAAGAAGTCAATCTTCTCTTTATGTGCCAGAGCAAGATATCGACATTTGTCTCGTTTTTGTGGGTCAGCGGAAACTGTACTGGATTGGATTCACAAATGATGCGTCCGGTAGAGCATGTAGACTTACCCATAAGAAGTTTAATTGGGCAGAACCTCACTTCATCTTTCACAATATCTTTCAGGTCTGGTTTTCTATAGTGTTGAAGACCTCGTCTTCCTTTCGACCCTCCTCTTTTTTCGGGGGATTTGCATCAATATACAAAGCCCAACGGAGTACCTTTCTAAATCAACGTCATTCGCAGGCATGCAGAAGAGGTTCATCGCCTCAGCACTGAACGGAATTACTACGCCAAAGAAGATACGGGATCGGACATTCATACCGATTAATTGGGAGGCTTGCATCTAAAGGAGCGCGACACTAAAACTTGTGTCGCGCTCATTGCCCCACCCAAACAGCTCCAGTGTCCCCACTATCCAGTGTGTCCTTACTATCCAGTGTGTCCCTACTATCTAGTGTGTCCCTACTCTCCAGTGTGTCCCCTCCTGCGGGATCGTAGACAATCTATAGGTTCTACTCCTAAGCCTTTGCCTTCTTCCATACGCGGCATTCTTCCATACGGAGATCTCTTCCTTATGGGGCCTTCTTCTATATGTAGAATTGATCATTGGACCGCCAATCTCAGCTATATTCTCGTAAAGTAAATTAAACTATTGGGATAATGGTTACATAAAATCTCTGACCGAGGATAGGAAAAACAAAGGTTCTTTCAGGTAAGAGTTCCGCTTCGGTCTTATGACTTCATATAGGTTGTTGCGGTGTATCTTTACCAACCTGCTGTACATCCTGGTCTGTCACTAGCATCGGGGCTGGATAGTAGGAGTTCTTGATAGGTCAGTCATCTTTTCATCAGAGCCATAGTTTGAGACATACTAATTGTGAGCTGAGGAAAGCCCAGAATCCCGAAGTATCCGCTGATAAAATATGTACCTGGCCCGTCTCTCGGATACGAATTCCCACGCACACATCTGCGCTGCACATCCTACTATATTCGCATGCCTTTTTCATCAGACTTGTTTTGCGGCGGCATTGTTTTTGCCGCATCAATTTTCTTTTCGAAGTGGTATCCTTGGACTTGGTAGCCTTGATAGCGGCCATTGGGTGCGTTGCCTTGATATCTGGAGGTACTTTAACAGTAGAGAAGCCTATATAGGTAGCAGGGACTCTGAAAATTTAGGTCCGCTAATAGAAAGGGGCTCAATGAATATAAATGTTATTGCACGAAGGGGAGTCTTTAATTATAGAGCGCGAAAAGACCACGATATTCAAAGACCACGATATTCTTCAAATTATTGCACGCAAATTGGTCCTTTATATATTGAACTCATAAAAGTGGCCCCGCAGGACTTGAAGGGCAATCACCAGTGTTATTTGCGGTCATCAAATGGGTGCGGCAACGGGAAAGCAACCGTAGGCGCTTATGTTTACGTATCTTGTTCACATTGCGCTTTTGCACCTTGTAACTATTACGCCAATTCCCTATGTCCGGTTAACACCGACGGAGTAAAAAATTATCGATTCATAATCTTTATGATAATGGAATATTCTTAGGGGTCTAAAATTTCGGGCTATGAATTTTACTATCACTTGAATTATATCACCTTTTAAAATTTCGGGCTGTGGATTTTACAATCACTTGAATTATACCGCCTCTTAAAATTTGCATGCTGCAATTTTCCTAAAGGTCGAATATTCCGAACACAAAATTTTAAAGGGATCTTTTATTCAGGCTCATTTGAAATTACCTTCTTAAAGTTCAAGTCTTATTATTTTCTCCTCGATTTTATCTACCTGTCTCGGAAATTTATTATGTCCCAGTTCTAGGAACGTCAGAACTACTGCAAAGGGAGAGCGAAGGTATACTTGCACCATTTCCAAATAGATAATGTGGGGCCTCGAACTATTCGAGATTCGCATATAGCCCGGCTGGACAGAATTTTTCAGTCGGAAGGGTTTTCTCGCCTGAACCCAGAGAATTATGTGAAGGTCCAATAGCAATGATGTTCTTCAGCAAGCTCTGACTGCCCGATGAAACTGAGGCCTTCCTAAACGGCCCATTGAACTTTTTAAACCCCCCAAATGAAGTACGGCTGAATATTGTGAACGATTTATGTTATATTTGGGCAGTTGGACTGGAAGCAAGGCTTTTTTTGGCTGGCCCTACAACGGATTATGCGGATGAAGAGTCATTAGAATCTTTTCTGGCATGGATCGACAACCAAAGAGCCATGTGATACTTTCTCAGAGAATAAGAAACTGCTACATAGCAGGGCGGTCTATGTAGAAACTGCTAGATAGGAGGGAAGTCTATATAGAAACTGCTACATAGCAGGGCGGTCTATGTAGAAACTGCTAGATAGGAGGGAAGTCTATATAGAAACTGATAGCACTCTAGAAGCGTAGCGAATTGCCGGGGCATCCTAGAGGCGGTCGGCAGAATGCACAAAAGAGCCCAATACAGATAGCGACTACGAACATAAACGCATTTGAGCCTTCGAGCCTTTAATCAGACACAAGATATAAATAAACTTCCGGCACAGCTTTCAAATGACATATAACACTAAGTAGGAAGCTCGTGGGCGTTAAGCCGAGTTGTGGTGTCTAAGCATGAGGAAGAGAAGCTCGCGACCAATGGTCCACTTGTAAAGGAGAAGAACCTTCTATGGATAGCATCCTAGGTACTCATGAGATACCCATTTCAGGACACGCATAGACCTATGCTGCTTGTACCAAGAGCATGATACAGACAAGACGTATGGTGCCCCGAAAGAATTCTAACAGAAGTGGTGCTGGGATGAAAGACAGATCTTGTATCTATGATGGAGCTATGTAGAGTATCCTGTAGGGTGTGAAATAAGAGGACGTTAATGAAACACCACTGCTAGTTGGACCATTTCAAGAGCAAGGTTTCCTTGGAAGGCCGAGAACAAAAGACTTCTTTCGAGAGGGTTCAGGTCATGGGAGAATCCTCTTGAGAGGAAATAAGTCACAGTACGGCTAACTGAAGAGCACATACGACACAGAAGGGTAAACGTCATATGAGCTGGGTCTTCATGCTATTTCTCTCCTAATCCAATTGTTCTGGGCTTGGGCTGGTTTTGAGATGGTCTAGGGCGACCACGAATTGCGGATGGCGGTTTAGCCAGACGCCGTTCAGTGAGGATTGCGTTCATTGGCTTATTATCTTGCTGTAGGAGCGGGTCTCTGCAGTAGCTTTCATTGGACGACAGTGTATGCTGCGGATGCTAGACCCGCGTTCTCGTTTCAGAGCCTCAGTGGGCGCTTATATACAGCCACTGAAACCGTCCCACGACGAAGAAGGCGGTATCAAAGGGTGTTTTTTTTGGCCCGCTCTCTGACTTGACTCGTTATCTCAGTCACCCCACCTTCTACTTCCCGCTAAACGTTGGTACATACGCACAGCCGAATAGCGGGCAGGAAGATGGAAAGCTGCTTGCTTCAGTTCGTGGGGGATCCTGAAACGGCGCCCAGAAATGAAGTTGTTTGGAGACTCATCACCAGACTCGATGGAGCCGCCTACGAACCGCCTATTCATTTGTGGGCAAAGTGCAATCCACCCTTCGTCTCAACACCCTGTATGATTATGTCTGCTCCCCCCCTTCAGACCCATTAAGCCTCTAATAACAACTAACAAAGAAGCAGTAGTTGATCAATTTCAAAATGAAGCATCAAAACAAGATACGAAGACAGTCCACTGCCTGCAAAGAATGTCAGCGTCGGCGGACAAAGGTAGGGAATATTACAATAGTATAGATCTTCTACTTACTTTTCGTTAAAATAGTGCAGTGGTGGAAATCCGTGCTCGGAATGCACAAAACGCGACTGTGTCTGCGATGTCGATGAGAACTCTGATAAACGACGCAAACTCTACTTAGGTATAATGGAAGAACTTAGGTACCATCAACAATTTATGGACGGGTTTTTTGAGGCAATACGGACTTCTGATGATGCTAATGTCCACCACATTATCGATGTTGTGCGGTCGGGATCATTGACCAGTGAGATACAGACTGCAGTGAATCGCATTCTTACGGATAATCGTTCTTCCTACAATGACGTCCCTGAAGGAGGTCCGTTAAGTGACCGGCCCAAGAGGAAGGCTTCTAAATCGGCTACGTCGGATTATCTCATAGCCCAGCTGCTGGATCCAAGCGAAATTCAAAGTGATGGCGACTCAGCCCAGCAACCTGTTCCGTACCCCACGAGCTATCGCGTGCTACCAAGGAATATCTCGAGAAGTCTGAGAATACAGAAATGCTTTGCGAATGAGGAGCTTCCAGATGATGTTCGCTTTCAGATGTTTTACGACGCCGGATATGTTACGCGCTACTTTGGCGCTATTCATCTAAAAGAACAGTCACCTCAACTGCAACTGGAGGCATCCTTGCTACATAAGATGGCGTTCCGGCGCCATGCTTTTGATGTGCATCATGTGTGCAGTCAGTCGCTGGCGTTGCTCGAATTCGGTGTAGGAACTTCAAAGACAAGAATAAGCAGGCCATGGTCTCCTGAGCGGCAGTCAAGTAGGGAGATCCGGATAAATATAGGTATACACTGTCGGCCTCGTTACGACACTACTTGATGCCTAACCAATTAAAAATTGGCATGAAGCAGACTTTCGGGGAATCTCAGTCATAATATATAATTATCCACTGCAGAGATGCTTTCGGAGTCGGCTAGCGTTCGAATGCTTCTTCGCACAGAAAGGGCATACTCGCATGCAGGAAGCGATTCTGATCTCTGCATTTTCCTTGGGCCAATGCTGGTAGTCTTTCCGATGCGCAACACAATCGCAAGCAGGGTGTATATCTGTCGTATTTTCCATGTGGCTGTCACGACTGAGAAGGACTGGGAATGATTGGGGACGATTGGGGACGATTGAGATAATGGCTCTAAAGAGCAGTTCATGCGATAAATTTTAATCTAGTAGGTGTTAATTAGCAATATCGATGATAAGAAGCTAATAAAAGCACAAACGGCTTCGTTCACACCGCGTATTTGCGCAAACTATCGCGTCTATATGCAGGGATGCAGGAGAGCAGTGCTTCTCCGCCTACCCTATTAGGTTAGATTGTATTTTTCCTATCTGTGCTGTAGTCAGGATACAGTCACTACGCAAAAGTGTTAGCACCCCAGATTCTGCCAGTAAATATTCACCAATAAAGGGCTAAGGATAATAGACGGAATATCAATTTAAGGAGGCAGTATAATAAATTAGGAAGGCGGTAGTAGAAGGGGTGTTAATACTTCTGCGGAGTCACTGTAGGTTAAGAATCCAGACAAGTGTTCCGCTTCCGAAGATCCACCCCCATTAGTTGCCCACGCATGCTCGAATTATGTGTGACTTGATAATCCTTGTAGACCGTTAGATACGACACAGCACAGGACTACACAACAATTCACAGAATAACTTCGAAAAAGATGGAATACAATTTATGCGATAGGGCACTTTGAACATTCTGATTTAACGTGCTATGAAATATCTGGAGTCTCTAATGTGACCCTCACATAAAATGTAGTCAATGGTACAAAATGTGCCTTTGTCGCTGAAAGGACACCATCGGATGGTTGAACCGCCTGAAGAGTTCTCACCGAAACCTTCCACCCCAGACGCAACTTCTTTCTATGCCCTTTGTGGATTAGTTTCCACTTAAAGGTAGACATTTGAGTCATGACTGGCCAATTAGTGAAGAACAAGTTATCATAAATACGCCTAGCTACGTGTAGAGTAAGGTTCTGGGTAACTAAATGCTTCCAAGGGCATCACTGGCCAGCCAATAACCTCAATCTCTATATCAGTCTGCCACATGTGGCCGAACCCTTCATGATTCAGATTGCTTTCACCAAAGCCAAGAGCTCGCTAAAGCTTGATGCGAAATATGAAACAGTCAGTCCCAAACTCGTCGAGGTCATACTAGCGATCATCTGCAGAGTCCGCAGTTGATGTGTTTGTCTGCGGGTCCTCCGCTACAAAGTCAGGACTAGAAATGTCATTCGATTCGTTAGTCATATCATTCGATTCGTCAGTCATGTCATGCGATTCGTCCGTCATGTCATCCAATTCGTCAGGCAACTCGTCTGATTCATCATAAACGTCGTTATCCTCTAGCAAACTTCCATATATATTCTTATCCCCAGTATACAATCCTATACAATAGATATCTGCTGTGTATAGGAGAGTCTGAAGCTTTAGGAATACTCTTCGCCACTCGGTAACAAAATCTTATATTTGGTCTAACTGCATTAGTACCCTTAGTTGATTGAACCAGACGCTTCTGAGGCATATGATTTTCAAGTTAGATAGTGGACACGCTTAATATATCAGCAAAAGAGAAAGGAATAATCGAGCCTCCGGCAAGTTCAAAGAAACGAGACATAGATAGTAATGCGCGAGATCAGGAAGCATTATACCATTCATTTAATACCTAAGCCCTAACGTAAGCAATTCTATATTAGGTAATATATATAAGAGACCTAGGAACTAGGGCTAAGAGAGGTTTTAGTCCCCTATCCTAGCAGATTTATTATATACTTCAAACTTTTGTAATAGCGGGTAACCTCGCGTAATCTTAAGTAGTACTTTAGCATCCGCTAGGGCCTTAAAGGTCACGTTAACAATCTATAAGTAACAATATTTCGAAATCATTCTAATTGCCTATCTATTATAGGTAGGAGAGATATGGTATAAATAGATTATCTAAAGTTTTTCAAATCTAGGCAAATATTCTAACCAATTTTTATACCCCTATCTAAGGTAGAGTACTTTTAAATCTAGCTATAGGTTTTAAGCCAGAGATATCGATACTTGACTTAGATCGCAGAAAGTTATCCTAAGTACTAGTGTTTTAAGGCTCTTCTGGTACTAAAGGTATAGTAAAACTTCCCTAAGACTTGATTAGATAGGATTGTTTAGCCCTCTTAGTTCTTTAAATTAGAAGAAATATAAATTGTAGTATTTTAGAAGGATATAAAGCTTATTGACTATTTGATTAAAATTAGACTTATAAATTGTGAGAGCTATAATATTAGCAAATTTATTCTATTATAGTGGTAAGTCATCTTTTAAAGAGCTAATAGGGCGTATAAACTAATATTAAGTAGGGTATTAGAGTAAGCTATCAAATTCTTATAGTAAATATTATTAATAGCTAAGTACTCTACAGTAGGGGAAAGAAGAATATTAGATATAGATGACCAATCTTGATCTATGATCTTATATAGAATTATAAGACTCTGAAAACCTCTTCCCTATAGCTATAAGAGAAGTTCTGTAGATTACCGATAACGTAGTATACGAGGCTTTTTAAAGGATATAAGTCGAGTAGGATTCGCAGCTTTATCTAACGCCGGTATTTCTAGTATAAGTAAAAGATGTTTGATAAAGCTAATATTCCGGGCGAAGCGGGTTCGCGACGCTATATACAAGCTATTCAGTGATCTAATACCAGGTATACAGAGCTGTATATCATTGATAGAGCCCGAGTATAGTTTCTTAAGAGCTTCTGCACTCCAGACGCTATTAACATAAGCACAGTTCAGGAGATCTGGAGCCGTATGAACATTGTCGATAACGAGTGACATGATTTCTAGGAGGAGGAAAGGATTATTTATACTGCTTTGAAGGCATGCAGCCATGGCGTATCTATAAAACGAAAAGGAACGGAACTTAAAACGATAAATGAAGGTTCTCACTCGGTTTGAAACAAGAACGGGACGTCCCCGAAGATAACATCACGGTATGAATCCGGCGCTAACTAAGGAATATTGATGACTAACCTTGTCAAAGCGGGGTTGCACTAGCCTAGGACCCAGCCAAAACCTTTACGATGTCGACAGCATAACCTCGTGCGGAGTCCGACGCTTAACTACACCGATCCAGGGTCGTGAACTTAGTATCTAGTTGACCAGGGCCCAAATATTTTAATCTGTGATAAAAAAAGGTCGCGAGCTTAAAAATTGTACGTACAGTAGCATCGCCAGTTCACATATTTGTTAAGATCAGTGATTGGCTGGTTGTTTTATTGTTATTGGTTGACTTAATGAGTCCCCTCCACTACTCACCCGCCAGAACCAGGCGCTTTCCCTTCCCCGTGCGCATTTGCTGAAATCCGATTTACACCGAAGCCATTTACCCCCCTCATCAACTTTCAAGGCGTGGAAAAATTCTAGCAAAGTGACATTCATTCAATATCTCTCTTAGCCATCAATCGATGAGCGTTATTACCCCTGCCAAGATCTCATCAGCAATCCCGCCCGCCATAAATGGAATCAACTTATGGCGTTTGAGATCCCATTCCAGAATCTGACATACAGTATCCTTGTGGAGAGAATACTGGCATTTAAGTCGCCTCAATGGTATATGTTGAATTCATCATCGCGATACTATCCTGGGTACGATACTTCTCCCCACCTTTATTACAATGCATCTTTTTCTTTGGTCTTTGCAACGCTCAACAAATTCCTAGGATACTGTGTAAAGCTCAAAAGCACCTGCGAAACGATGTATTTCGTAGGGGCTAGGAACAAAGTAAAATGCAAGGCCATTATTTGATGGCCCCACACATGAAGACCCCAGGCGAGACAATGTCCTTTGGAGTGAGGAGCTCGGGCGTGCTCTAATCATCGACTTTCACCGTTCTACCCTGACATGTCGACCGGCTAGGCAGCGACCGGGGGCCGCAAAACGACGACTATATCAAGTGGAGGCAGGAGATGCAAAGCGTCTTCGGGTTTCGTGATAAGAAAATCTATTTTCTACCTGTTAAATTAGCGATTTTGTGACTCAAATTCTCATGGTCACCTATATATTTCGAGGCGAGGTGCGCTCCTTATTCATGTGCATCAACACCACCCGACTTATTATGTGAGCCGGACCCTCGAACTTGAGAACTTTTTGGAATGATATGACCATTATAAGAGCATAGCAGACTGTCATTCAATTCTGATATTGCGACAAATGCAACAGCTGACTGTATAATTGAGGGCCGTTTAAGAGGCCCACTGGGAGCCAATCTCAACACTGCTTTTGCCAGCACAGGTCCACAGAACTGATATCTCTCATAAATATGGAAGTTATTGCAGTCCAGCATTGGCCGCATGATGTAGGATCGACCGAGGTCAGGCGAGTGTGGGGTATTTTCGCTATTGGCTCGCATCGCCGTGGTATTCTTTCAAGATTCACAGATTGGGTGCGGAGAGACCGGAGAGGCCAACGATGTCGACAGATGGGAGGTCGAGGCATTCGCGAACAAGCGGCCGAGAGTAGATCTGGCACGCCAAGGGCTGTGCAATGAAACCTCTGGTGGGGCCTGAGATGGGGCGGATGAAGCGGAGCATTCACCAACAAGGAGAACAATTTGGGAGACTTCGCAACAAGCAAGGGAGGTCAGCGGAATAACAGACACCCAACGGGAAGGCCTCACCAGCAGAAAGAAAGCGGTCTAGATGTCTTTGTAGAGTTCTTTGGAAAATGGAGTATTGACACACAATTATGCGATGCGGTGGATGGCTAGATCACCCCAGTATTTCTACTCCTAAGCAACTGAATAGCATTACAGCCCACGCTGGTCAGAACGACCAGGGAGTCGGATCGATCTGCATCTCCGGTAAACTGAAAGGGGCAGTGCGTCGGGCTGAAAGCAAATGTGCAGTAGTCGGTGGGGGCCAGAGTAAAAGAAAGGGGGCGGCGATGAGTGCAAGATAGAGAGGTAGGAAGAATGAAAAAGTGAGAGTAAGGGAGGAGGACCAGTGAAGACGGGTCTTTATGTCAAAGAGCATTGAAGGGAGGTTATGTGATGGCGTATTGAGGCACTAAGCCTAAAAAGGCAAAACTAACCGGATAGAGTAATTCACGGGTCCGCCGTTTACATGCAAAAAATGCATTAATTATGAAGTCACGGGGAACTGGCATGTTTGCACTGTTTATCAAAGAATGGGCCCCCAATGGGCCCCCACGATGGGCCGTGGGCCCAAAAAAAAAGCCCAAAGCCCATCGTGGGCCCAAGAACCGGGCCCAAAGCCCAGCCCATTCGTGGGTTGGGCTGGGTTGGGCTTTGGGCTTTGTGGGTTCTGCGGAAGCCTATACTATAGATCTCTATACTAGCAGCTTATTAGCTAAAAACACTATTACTAGTACCTTTTCACCGGATTCCTTGTCTCTATAAAAAGGAATCGCTTCTTTCTCTCCTCTCTAGGAAAGATTTCCTAACAATTGAGTATATCTTCGCGAAACTACCTCTATTTCTTAATCAGGATATTACCTGATATTATATGCTCTACTATATAGTCTATTTTACTCCGGCCTACTAGACCACTCTTTACTCGTTCTCTAGGCCCTAGATACTTTATATATTTTACCCTTTTGCCTGTCTTTTACCTGTTAACTTAATGATAGAGTGCTATATTTTTTTATATTATTACTAGCTTTATAGGAAGCTCTTTCGAAAGAGATAGATGATCTCATGAAGGGTATTGGAAGGTAAGTCCTGTTATTGGTGGGTCACGTGACCTGTCTACTATTTTTAGATACTTGCCCATCTATAGCTTCTCTTCTTCTTCCCTTCTCTCTTTACACATATATACAATTCCTGTATAGCCTCATTACGTTCCAGTAAGACCTTCTAAGACAGTGTCATCATCTCGCTCCATAGATGCAATTTAATCTTCAAGTAGATTGTCTAAAGCTGACACGGTTCTTTCAAGCTGACGACCTGCTTAGCGATTGACTATTGTATTATACGTTTGTTAGATCGCTTTTAGAGATCATATCGTAAGAAATCTAACGGGATCCCTTCTTTTATCTATTATACGGGCGAAAATCACGGACGAAAACACCTATTAAGTCTTAGGATCAGACTAAATGTTAAGATATATAATACCGGTCCGATATTGCCCAGCTTCATGCTACCGGCGATCCTTAACGATGCCGGGCTCGGGAGTCCTTCAGGGCTTCATATCCGCTGACTCATCGGGTTCTGACTAAGCGGACCCTGATCAAACTTAATTGAAACATTTTTAATTAAAATCTCTCAGGGATCTTCCAAAGTGACCGAGTAGACACAGCCGGAAGGGATGAAGGATCCGTCGATTTGGCTCAAGCTAAACAACCAAGTTTCACACCAATTCCAATGAATATCTATAGATCCACATTGGTCTCATTTTTTTCAAAAATGCCATGTAACAATTCATGAATGTCGTATAAGAATATATAAGTGACCGGCTGAAAATTTTCTGGATCCATTCCTTGACTTCGTTCTAAAGTTTTAATATTGGAAAATTCCGTATCTATATATGATGTCTGTGTGAGCCATGGTGATGACTGTGACTCCGCTTCGCAGTGACAAATTCAGGCTCTGTACTATCATCATCATGCGCCAAGCCGATCTCGTTGAGTTGATCGGCCATCTCCTTGAACGGACTATCTTCCTCGAAGGGATCGTCGCTAAGTGTGACATCTGAGTCGAGGACAGTATTTGTTAGTCATGTCTCATCAATCAATTGGTTTTGATCAACTTACTTGTAACCACCCAGTTGTCAGGGTCATTAGGGTCCAAACCTCTGGCTGCGATGGTAGCCGGGGGTTCGAATTGGATCTTGCAGGGCTTGTTTTCCAGCATATCGACCTTAAGCGCACCAGGGGCCTTCTTCTTGTAAGGGTACACGAGGCAGATGCCGTTGTTGGTCAGTGAAAGTTCAGGGTTTCCCTGGAGGTTGATACCACCCAAAACATGGAGGAGTCCTGTCCCTGGGTTCATGGAAGGATTGTTCGTGGCACCTGAGGAAAATATACCACCTACTGTCCCGAGGTTGTTCTGGGTGTTCGTGTAGCTGAAAAGGTTCATGGTGTAGTATCTTGTCGGCCCTGTCCATGACGAGTCCTTCCAGTATTTCGATGCGGTTTGGCCCGTTGGCTGATTAATTAGTAAACATTTGATAGATGCTGCCAGGTACAAAAATTTTGACTCACGGTGTACTTGATGTAAGAAAGTTGGCCATTGATCTTAGCTTGATACTTCTGCTGACCGTCCGGAACACATGCGACCTCCTAAAGGACATCAGATTAGTTTTCACGCAACAAGTTTCAAAGAGAATAAGATCAGCTTACAGCGCCTGTGCCCCCCTCTGCTGCTGAGTTGACTGGACGAGTGTCGTGTCAGTAGATGGCCTTGAATCAAGTGGATCCAGAGTGCAATGTTGACATACAGGGAAACTCATCACAGGACATGGTCAGCGCCTGGGGCTGTTTTCCATCCTTGGGCCAAAGGGACCTCTTCAACTTCGTACATTCCTTCGATTTCTGAGTACATGCGTCGACCCGGTTAGCATGCGTTGGATCCGGCTGATAGGTCAGGCGCATCCAATTGGGCCAAACATATTGCTTGCCCGAGTTCCGGTCCAGGTATTTCTTGACATTTTCGCAAATGCCCCTGAGATCGACGTGAGGAGTTTGTCCATTTGTGTCAGTGTTGAGGTTGTTGATTCTCGTTGTTGGGAACCAGTCACAGTTGTAAAACAACGCCGGTGGGAGGTAGCAAGTTGGTGCGGTGTTAGCACGCTTAGCAGTTGACGAGGTGTCTTCTGTATCCAAGCAACTCAAGGTTTCGTTAGTAAGTTGAGTATTCTTGTTGGCACATTGACACCATCCACTAAAGAAAGGTGAGCCAGTTGTGTTTTTGACCAGAGCCGAGCTTGTTGAATCACGCTTCCTCTTTTCATCCACATCACTCGAGTAAGCTAGACATTTTTTGTCAACAAGTGCGATGGGATCTTCTGGAGAGGCGATCTCATATCGATCACCCCAGTATGCCACGTCGCCAAGGAATCTGAGGATTTATCAGTTAGCACTGACCGGGATAACCAAAAGCCTTCAAGTAGATATAACTTACGAGGCATCTGCTTGCAGAAATACCGAATAATCGTAGTCTGCCCAGTAGCAGAATTCTGCAGAAGACCCGCTCGATAGACCTGTCGACGCCGAAGCACTAACACCCAAACTGACAGTGTTCTCGACTCCCGCGGTAAAATAGCCTTCCATTAACTTTCCATTCAGAACAGAAATACCGAATTTGACCTCAGGGGTAAGAGTCAAAGCCAAGTTGCCCGATGCCGACGCTGAAGCTTCGAACTGAGGTGTGACGGAGAATTGATTCGGGGCATCCTTGCCATCCTCGTTTTTGAGAGAAGACGGGGGAACACTGGCATCCTCACCATCTGAATCTTGTGGGAAGAACACTTCTGCTTTAGGGAATTCCACAACAACACCAGCGTTAAGTTCACCTGAAACCACCATCGAGGCATCCATTTTACCGGAAAGGGCGAGCTCTGGGCCGATGCTGATAAGTCCCTTGATGGAAAGCCCAGGGAATGTCACACCGGAGATAATATCGATCTTGTCGCTGCTGGTCTGGAATGCTGCTTCTCCTCGCATGGTCAGAAGAATCTCTGCTGCAGGAGCAACCGAAAAGTATGCATAAGAAGAAATCAACTTGGGAGTGGGCAAAATCGCGCCTTCAAAGTAGTACGCGTATTGCGCATTGAGACCTATATCGAGAGTAGAATCGATGTCCAGTGACATTTGTTTGCCGCTGCACTTCTCATCCCAATGGAACAACTTGATCGTGTCATAGTAGTTCAGAGGTAGGTATCCAGAGCTGTTTTTGACAATTGTGGTGACTTTCTTCAGCCATTGCTTGAAGGCGCCAAACCATCTCTTCCTCTTCTGGGGTGGATCCTCCGTAATATCCTCCCTAACGACGATGAATAATGTTAGTCGCGACTAATTTTTTTTGACAGTGAGTCACCAGTCATAGCTTACCAGTAGTCAAGCAAATTCGTATAGTCGACCCGAAAGTTGACGTCTCCCTTCTCCTCCTCCGAAGCGGAAGCCAGGTCATAATCCACAGTGAGTTCATACGCCTGGTTTGTGTCCCGCGGTAGGATATTACTCCGCTTCTCTGAAGAGTGCTGTGGAACCAAGCTGATGACACGAGCGTAGGGTCCAGATCCGTGGTAAGAAGGCATCTTGACAATGGTGTTTGATGCACCACCGGAGAAAATGGTCTTACACCCGGTATCTTCATCGAGGCTCGCACAGCGAATAATGTAAGTCTCAACGACGTTGTCAAACGTGTCCTCGCGGAATGTGAAGATGTCTCGCTTCTTGCGTGGACCGCCATCTCTCTTGGAGTTGAGACCTCCATCTTCCAAAAATGTCCACTGATCCACAAGAGACTCGTCGTATGCATCCGTGTCACCATCCACCATCACAAATGCGTAAGGGTTCTCTTGCTCGAAGTCGGATGATTCGTTGTTGTCGGTGTCCTCGTGCTTCAGGTAATAGCTGTAGTTTTTCTCATCTGGGTACTCAAATATGGCGGAGGGGTCGACGGGAGGGTTGACAGTTGAAGTAGGTGCATCACAGCAAAACTTGTACATGCCTCCTTCATGGCAATATTGGGGGAGACTGCCATTTAGTAAAGCTGAGCGTTGGGTGAGGAGAACTTTGTCACTAGCGCAAGACTCGGTACAAGTAGTCCATTCACAATTCTCGTAACCATCTTGATTCGTGAGGTCCCATTAGCGGAGTTGCTGCGAATGAGGTGCCATAACTTACTGTCAAATGGGCAGCAAAAGGTCGAAACCTCACTTCCAGAGCAGTACTCAGAGTCTTCGTTGAGATCTAAAATTCTGTCAGACGTTCACATTCCTCTTCAACGTGGACTCGGGGGGAGGTAAGGGGGTGTGATGGTGAGGTGTGAAGTGACTTACTAGTGCCGGGCTTGAGAGCATATTCCGGGTACTCAATATCAGTTTTCATGCATTCTCCGTTGCAGGCGGTCCAGAAACACGAGTTCACTATAGTGTCAAGATTGGGGTCGGTGGCACAGCAAAGCGATCGACTATTGACCATGCACGGGGTAGACCCTGTCCGGTCAGAGTAAGAGTCCTTGACAATTTCAAATTCATTTGAGCCACATGTTTTCTCCTTTCCACCAGTACACATGCCATCGGATGAGCCGCCAGTCCACTGGCATGTCGGCATTGCATCTGTTGGGCAACAGATCAGACGATATTCTGAGTCTGAATCCTCATATTCGGTCGTATCGCCAGTTTTGCAAAGATGATCATCGGGGTCAATGATGGTTCCGTAAGAGGCTCTGTGAACGTAATCCAAAACACTGTAACCCGCTTTACATGATCCAGAGTTATAGTCCACGCATCCAGTGACATAACAATCAGTACCAGTATATTGATTGTATGCATGTGCTAATGCCTTGGCACTCAGTGAGTTCTCAGATCCTCCTTCTAGCAGGGAAGCGGAGCTGACATCTTTGTTCAGCAGGGCAGTTAAAGCTTGCCAGTCGTATGTATCCTGATCCAAGGCCCAGATCATGACTCCGCCTAGGCATTGATCATTGGCCCAATCGACCTTCTGCTTCATTGTGACATTGTTGTCGTACGATACCCACTGGTTGTCGTCCCAGGTGACATACATGACTGCTGCAGTTTCCTCCCAGATGGGACCCTGGACATCAACATTCTCGACGATCTCCATGATCTCATTATATGAGAGAATCCCAGAAGCATCTGTACATCGACCAGGCTGCCCTCCTCCAGTGAAGGGGCATCCGACGCCAGTGCATGAAGAGTCCTTGAGTGTGAAAGATCGACCATAGAAACCAATGCCCAAAACAATCTTTGATGGATCAACATTGTTTCGCCAAAGAAGGTCCATGGATTGTTGAATCTCTGTCAAGTTTGTGTGCGCTCCAGTGATATTCCCAATGTATGGGTCTGTGCCATCCCAGACACCGTGAAGATCGTAGGTCATCATGTTCGCCCAGTCGGCTCCGTCTTCTTGCAAATAGGCGGGCACGTCAAAGTGGCGGAGATACCAGTAGCTCGATGGAATGGTGAATGAGATTCCAAGGCTTGAACCACTGTCGTCAAAGGTTGAGCGAACTTGCTTGATCAACTTGCCGTAGTTTTCCATGTCATCCTTGCTGCCACCACGATCCGAAGCGACAGGATACTCCCAGTCCAAGTCAACACCGTCAAAGCCGTATTGCTGCAACGTCCGCAATAAGTCTTTGGCGAATGACTTTCGGCCAGATTCAGTAGATGCCATGTCAGACCAATAGTGCGCCGAATCACCGTCATTGAATGACCAGCCGCCAACAGACAAGAAGCACTTCAAGGACGGGTTGTCATCTTTCAAAGCAATGAAATCAGCCACCATGTCATTCAAGTTCGATATCTTGTCCTCATCCATCAGGTAAACATTCCAGCCATCATTCCAGGGTTTGAAAAGAGCAAACGACCAATAGATGTGTGTCAGGCTCTGCACGGGGAGATTGCTTGGAGACCATGAATCACATGTCCGTTCAGCAGACCAGCTCTCATAATAGCCAATGACCTTCTTGAGAACGTCGTTCGATTTGCAGGAAGGCTGCGTTGGTTGATAGCAATTGCTTTGGCACTTGCCGCCGTCTGTACCGGCGTTGCAAAACTCGGATGTTGTACCGCAGAAACCGAACTCGGAGCAGCAAACATTCAATGGGCAGGTCGTGCCAGCAGTGGCAGCCCATTTGCCGCATTCTGCAGTTGCATTGCAGTTGCTCACGCATGTAGAGCCACAAGATTTGTCGGGATCATAGCCACAAAGCTGTATACTTTGGGTCAGCGAGGCTTAATGGATAAGATAGACAGGCTTAACTAACGCCATTGGTTTCACCATCGTTCACACCACAGCATGCACCGTTGACACATGGACTTGTCAAGTTGCAGACATAGAACTGGGCCGATGTGAAATTTATAAAGAGTGAAAGTATAATAAAAGAAAGTAGAAAGAAAGAATGGCAGGACAAGAACTCCGCCCGCAAACTGTATATCCTCATGGTGCGGCTCTTTCGTCCGAAATACTGAACAAGTCAGTAAAAGCTTGCCCAGGACGATTCAAGTCAAAGGAGAAAGAGAATGAATGAGAAAAGTAAGAGGAACTAGGATCATAAAGATAACAGACGGGGTCCGAAATGAACAGCCGAGACTACCTAAGCTCGCAACAGTCCGGCAGCCTCAAGTATCCGACGCTGATACAGTTCAGTTTGGAGTCCCACAAGTGTATCTACTAATCTAATCTACTAATTTAATCCCTCAGCGCACGCAATACTATTTGTGGACTAGACTTGCAATTTTTACTAGGCTAGTCGTATCTCGTGAGAAACCGAATCCCTTCAGAGTTTGGAATGGTCAATGTATACCCTGCATAACCCCACCGGTGTACTGTACTAGTATCTCCTATGGGTGCCGAATACATCCGGACCACCTGGTGGCGCCTTAAGTTGGCCCCCTGGTTCCAAGCCTCCTGTTACACTACTTCGTAGCTTCAAATCTTGTAAGCAATCACTTCAAAAATTTTCATCGGCGGGGCAAGGCCCGGAAGTTTCAGCTGTGCAGCTCGCTTAGAACAAAGCCTGCATTCAATGGTTTGTGCAATCTCTACAGAATGCATCCGATGTGAAAGGTATACTGTTAATTCCTACATTTTACTTGGCATTAGAGCCGCATCTGCATCCTAGCAAGCCAAGCTATAGCCAAGAATGTAAGCTTCAGCCATTGATCTGTTTGTCTACAATTCTTTTCTATCGTCTAAGTCCATTATTCTTGGCGGACCCATGTGAAAATTTTGGCCCCCTTGGCCCCCAACATGGGGCCCTCTAACACGTTCAGGGGATCTCGGCCCCTACCCGCTAAGTGGGACTGGCTTCGGGACTTGATGTATAGGGTAAAGCTTCACCCACTTTTCCACTTGAATGGGCTGTCTAGTGCTCAAGCCGAACCACTTTTTCCTGTACCTCGCTTAGTGGATTTCGACGGATGTCTCAGATTTAGCTTGGTACTTTGAACTTCCAATGGGCCTCCCCACTTCTAGCTCCTTTTGATAAGGTGGTAAATTGGTTGGTATGAAGGCGTCAATACGAAACACCGAAGTTTCCCTGCCGAACAAGTAGTTTGAGTAGCCATTACTCCCCCTCCTTTGGGATTGCTCATGTCCCAGGTTCAAGGAAAATCAATTCGCGCTCTGAATTCTCTTTCAGTCATAGAGCTATGGCACTCTTGAGGGCAAGTGCTGCATTGGCAGTAGTTCTGATGCTACAGTCTCATCATGCCGCTGCTTGGGGAAATTCAGACACTCTCTACATTTACAACTCTGATACTCTGGCTGATATATCAGCTTCAGAAGCATGCGTGAATGCCATGTCCAGCAATGTTTCATGCTATGCCGGCTTGAGCCAGGCAGTCACCCAGACGACATCATGGTCAGCCAATGCACTGTCGGAAATGTGTACCAGCGGTTGCTCTTCCGCTTTGTCAAGCTATGTCTCCTCTGTGGACGAAGCCTGCGGCACAAGTACGCAGTACAACATCTCCGGTATCTCACAAACTGCCTCGGATAGAGGCAAAGAAATGAAATGGCGTTACGATGCAACCTGCTTGACTGATTCGGCTTCGGGCACCTATTGCAACACCCTATTCCAAAATGCAATTTCGAATGGCACAACAAACATCAAATGCAGCGCATGCTATTTGGAGTATTTGTCAACCCTAGTGAATTCCAAATGGGGTCAGGATATTTTGCTCAGTCCGTCGGCCTTAACGAGTCAAGTATCTTCTTGCTCGACCAGCGGATACTCTGTGACTTATACACCAACCTCGACTGCCTCTTCCACGGCCTCTGCCTCGGCCACTGTTGCCGCTAGTCGCTGCAACACGACTGACCCCGATCAAACTGTTTACAAGGTTGAATCCGGAGATACCTGTCTTTCTATCTCAGCAGCTCAAAATGTCTCAACCTCAGCCTTGATAAACTTGAACAGCCTTGATACGGGGTGTACGCATATAGTTGCTGGGGCAGAGATTTGCCTTCCCGATGTTTGTGAGATCTATCGCGTTCAGGAGACGGATACCATTGACAAAATCGTTGCGAGCCTATCGCGTCAAGTCTCTGTGCCTCAGTTTGTTGCATGGAATGCCAATCTCAACTCAGCGCAAAGCTCGCAGAATCTGACGGCTGTTTCGGGGAAGTACATCTGCGTCAGTCCTCCGGGTACTCTCACACTCCCCGATACCCTGGCTCTTAGGCCCGCAAGCACCGCTGTGTATGTTGTCTGCTATTTTGTTTCGCTCGGTTGTTCGGAAAGTGAAAATGCTAATCAAATATACAGGTCTCTTCCTACCGACGCAGTCACTAGCTCCAACACCGACTGTGGTCACTGGTATCAGGTCCAAGATGGTGATACCTGTGAATCCGTGTGCGACAAATTCAGCATCTCTCAATATAATTTCAATTTCTTAAATCCCCAGGCCGCATTGAATGCAACCTCCAGTTGCGGCAGCCTCTGGAAAGGGAACAGCTACGTACGTCTCTCTACACGAGAAAATAACCAAGACATATCGTTCTTTTCAGGCTAACCCATCCACTCCACAGTGCGTTCAAGCAGTGGGTAACATCAACACCTATACAAGCTACATATCCAACACCACAAGAACACGCACATCACTTGCTAGCACCATGAATCTCAACGCAACCCGAACAGCAAACCATAGCACCACCAATCTGTTCTGGTCATTCCCTTCCGACCTAACCACGGCCTCAACCTGGACCCCTGATTCAGCATACCTCGCATCTCTCGCGACCTACACTCTCTGCGACCAGGTCAACTCAGTGTACAACATCACCGATGACGATCTAACAGACGAGATGTACCACGATGAAGTCTGGCTAAGTGAATACGAGCGCGTGTGCTATCCTCCCGTGAACGGTTCTTTCCCGACCACCGGGTTCAACTTCAGCATTACATTGACCGATGATCCAAGTATGGGAAGCTCGACGGTATTCACTTCTAGCCAAACAGCTAGCCCTCACGCATCATCTACGGTCACTACGGCGACCTCTACCACAGTTGCGACTCCTACGAGTACGATTTCGGAGAACGGTCTCTGTGGCCCGTCTAATTCGGACTGGACTTGTTTGGGATCTCAATTTGGTGACTGCTGTAGTAACTACGGTTATTGTGGTAGTTCGTCGGAGTATTGTTCCAGCGCCAATTGTAATGCTAAGTATGGCTCGTGTGGTTGATCTTGGTTTGGGGGTGGGACACTCAATGCCCTAGAGTTCTAAAGTTCACTGTCGGACAAAATTCGGCTATGGTCTTCAAGGCATGTCAAATGTTTATATATGCCATATTTTCTTCTAGTTTTAATTACTGGAATATAGAACTGGGATTTACCAGCTGGCTGTTAACTGGCACATAGTAGTGCATGGAAACCTGGAATTTATGAATATCAAACTTTCGCTTACATTTCAATGATTTTGGCACAAATTTACAACTTTACAACCAGAATTTTGAAAGCAAGCGGCTAGGCCGGAAAAGACGCTACTTAGTGCACACCAAGTTTGTGATCGATCCACTTCAACGAAAACCCTTTAAGCCAAAGACCCACTCCAGGGGTGTATATCCGAGCTCGCAACCACTTAATCTCCCCTATCAAAGCTTAGTCGTAAAGATTCCAAGGTCGCATAATACAGGTTTAGTGTGTTTGAGATGAGTTTGTACAGGAACTTTTGAAAATATAACTAGATTTGATGCCTTAGTGCAAACTTGGGGCGGGCATGTATCAAACTCCGTTAAATACATTCCCGCCCCCCACGTTCCTCACTAAACTTCTTTTCAACCCCCGGAACTACCACCATTCGATCATGTCCTTAACAAGATCACATAGCCAGTGGCCTAGAGGCATCCCCTCTTTCATTCGCCGACATGAGGAACCCGTGGCCCGGAAGAATTTTGATGCCGCCTCTCGTGCATGGAGGCATTTTGTTCGTGAGCAGTGGGTCGGTGGCGACGGCGCGGATCAACAGAAACGAGCGTTGATCGAACGCTGGGCAACAGCAGACCAACAATTCCGCGATGTATGTCTTTTGGATAAGAATTTTTATTTTTCACTGACACCATGACAGAGCTATCAATCACGAGCCCCAGAGGACGAGCCTAGTTTTTTTGAAGGTCCTGAACTTACGGTATGAAACAATTAAATATATCCTACTACCTGACTTATCCTAATCCAAGTATAGGATAAAACTTTCGGAGCCAATGACGTTCAAAGTTCCTGCATGGTCTACTTCTACACCACCGAATTAACCCCCGAGAAAGAAGCCCTGCTCGCCAAGTGTATCCTGGGATTATTCCCATGGGAAGACGGCTGGGACTTTCTAGCAGACGAAATGATAGTATTTGTTCCCCCTGAAGACAATAAGGGGAATGTTCTCGAGACATTTAAATTCTATCAAAGTGTCGCGCGACCCAACTTCCTCGATATGCACATGGCGCTTGATGGAACTGTACTTTTCAGAGACTGCTCCCCCAAGCTTATTATCGATGACCGGACCCTTGAGACCGGACTAGGTCTCTGGGTTGATTTTACAACCAACGGTATCTACGAGATAGCCCGTCGGGGTCAAATTATGATGGAGGAATTCGCCTACTTTTATCGGGAAATCGGTCCGGGAAATCGAGTCCCAATAGACCAGGCGCTCAATTACATTGAGGACCGGGAAATTTACATAGACCGCGACGAAGATGCAGATCCAAGAGAGATTTTGGAGGATGAACCGTGAGTCTGTCCATTCTTGGTTACGAGATGGTTTATGTTAATTGGTGCTTAGAGTCGATATGCGACGGCCGCTTGTGGAAATCTACAAAGGGAATGAAGTCGATCTGGTGGATGACTATGCGCCAGGATTTCGCGAGGCGGAGGAGCAGGGTGACGGTTTAGCGATCGGATTTGATTTGGAAAGGATACTTGCGAACGATGGAAATCCCCTGATTGTCAGAGATCATGGAAGTGACCATTAGCTAGACTTTACCATGTACTCCTGAAGTCTCGTTGGTTATTTATATGGGAGATACGGAGTACATAACTGGCAACCACCCCTTACCTCCGGCAGGGATGGAGATCTCTACCGAATATACCTTGCCCACGGAGCCTCCCCAAAGAATCAATAATTGGGCACTTGCTGCAGGTACCCGTGGACTACAGCTACAGTACGGGGTACGGAGTACATTCTCATACCCCGGAGCGATTGATAACATACTAGGTACTATTTATATTGTAATATTTCAGCTTTTTATAGGTAGCTGTAAACTATTTATTATATTTAAGGTATATCATAGTCTGTTTGTTAGGCTGGTAAAGCTTCTGATATCGAAGGTCCAAGAAATGACGATATTAATGATAAGGAGAGGAAGGAGGAAGAAGAAGAAGAAGCTATGAAAGAAGTAAGCTAAACAGCAAGGCAAACAAAACAAGCAAAGTGAGCAAAGCGAGCAAAGCAAGCAAACAGGGCGCGGGGCAGCAAGCAAGTAAACAAACGAATATATAATGCTTATAGAGCATGATACTACCCCCTAATAAAGTAAAGGTATTAGTCCCTTGATATCAAAATAACCAAATCAATTAATGATAGTATGAATTATCAGAATCACTCCCTTCCAAATCAACCAATTTAGGGTCAGGAACAATAGTAGCATTAGTAGTAGTGGCACTAAGAGAGATATCTATTACGTCAGATCTACCACCAGAGTTACTAGTTTTACTATTTTAACTATAGGATATAAAGACGAGATAGAACTTAATATTTTTAATACTTTATTAGGTAAAAAGACTATATATATTCTTTAGTATATTCTATATCGATTATAACTATAAAGAGATAGCTTTTAATAACGATAAATAGCGCTAGATCGACTAACGTATTCGGTAAGCGAGCTGCGCGCGCAACCGAGCTGCGCAGCCCAAAACACATAGTAAATGCGATATATTACAACTTGATATCTCAACAACAGTGGCTCGTAGGGACTTGTCTTCATGGCATAGTACTATATATATGATATCTAGCATATCTAGGGAACTTTAGGAAAATAAATGGCTTTATAACTACGATATATATATTTCTAGCTTTTAGGGACGTAATTTTCGGTAATATTTGAAATCATGGTAAGATAGTATTCTACTCTCTTTGAAATTGATATATAGTACTAAGAAGTCTTATCAATAACTATCGACAAACGGGGAGATAGGATGAACATATGGTTGTTAAGATATAAATGTGGAATATCTTGCATTTACTATGTGTTTTGGGCTGCGCAGCTCGGTTGCGCGCGCAGCTCGCTTACCGAATACGTTATCTTCTTTATCTTATAAAGCTATTCTATAATTATATACTTACTCTTTTAAAGACTCGAGATATAACTATATATCTTATTTTCTAGATCTATAATATATTATTTAAGTATCTAGAGAAGTCTATTAATTAGCTTTAATAAAAGTATATACTATAGAAATAATAAATACTTTCCTCTCTTAAGGCTAGCCGATTAAAGCTTAATAAGTATTATTTATAAATAAATTATAAGTATAGTTATATTTATATAATTAGTACTATATTAGCGCTAGATAGTCGATTCTAATTCTTTCTAACCGATAATTAGATAAAAGAATAGTATAAGATATATCGAGCTTTATTCTAAGATACTCTTACCCCTTACTAAGATCGTTAAGTAACTAGTTAAGGCCTATTAGCCTCTTCTTTTAGATTAAGACTAAATATAGTTCTTAATAATCTACTTTACGTAAAGAAACCTAAAGCGAAGCCGGTTAGGGATAAGATAACCTAATATCTTAATAGTAGTAAGTTAATCTTATTCTAATAATTACTTATTACAGAGTACACAAAGCCGCCCTCAATGCTTATATTGAAACAGATGGCTACGGAGGACGTTGTATACAGCGAAAGGTCGACAGGCGCGAACCAAGAAATATCCCGACAGCATAGCCTCTCTCATTGGCGTTTCTTCGGTCTTCCAGACCGAGAGCTGGCCTTGTGGCGTAATTTGGTTGAATAGTGAACTTGAAGGGATGACATGTTTCGACCTGGGAAGTGAGTCGTAATCTCAGACTATGACATTGCCTCTTTTTCCTTCAGCCGCACGAGCAGCGCATTCTCGTCCGACGTGTATGTGTGTTTCCCTGGGATAACCGCCGTGTGCGCTCGAGACAGCATCGGGCTAGGATCAGGTACGAAAGTAAAGAAATATGCCGGTTTCAGACCAGTATTAGATTCGACCGTGAGGATAGCACTCCCGCGTACACCCTGGATAGCACCAGAGCAATGAGATGAAATAGGAACGGAAGATTCCGAAGGGTCGAAAAGTGGCCTGATTGAAGGTCTCCTTTTCTTCCTCTTTTGACACGGCTGTGCTGTGTTATAGGTGGTGTTCCTGTCTTGGTGGATGCTGGTACCTCGACCTGAGCGGAGTCGCTTCTTGTATACTACCGTAGCGGCCCTTGTGCTTGTCCTGGCGGCTCCTTATTTCTAAGACGTTGGCGGTATAACCACAGCTATCGACGGGTAGCGCATCGGGGGTTTGGAACTCATTGTCGTTCGAGCTCGAGAATATGTTGATATAGAGCGATCCGGAGGCGGAGAGGACGGGCTAGATGTGGCTGACGTGTCTTCAGCAGTACTGGGATCTTCAGCCCGCCCCGAAGCCTTGTTTGCCCTTAAGCATGGATCTTCACCTAGGTTAGATGTCTGACTCAGCTCCAAATCACTTTCGTAGACCCTACTATCTGAGGGCTCTATAGTAGATAACTTCCGCTTGGCTAATTCTTACCGAAAATCACCCACCACAGATAGGTTGCTAGAGACACAGTTCGCTTATTCGGGTACAGGCACAGATAGGGTCACACAGGGTATATAAGAGAGTTAAGAAGTCTCCATTTCTTTGGTATCAGGAACAGCGTCTACAATAAAAAAAAGTCAGACAATGAGAGGATGATGGCCGACTTTCAATATATTGTGCCAAATTACCCGGTAGAACATCTCCTCGCATATCAGGAGGAATAGTATCTAGGTGATTTGGCCCTGCAGGACACAGAATTATTCTCGCGGAGTCTATCGATGGCACTGGCTCTAAGAAAGCCAGCGCGGAACTTCCACGATCCAACAGAATATCACAGGCAGCTGGTATATCTATTATCACTGGGGGTCCGACATCTTTCGTCATTTCAGGCGGAGTGGGTCCGTAGACATGATTGATCTCGAAGTCAAACATATTCCACTCATAAGTTGAACCGGTCAGTGGCAGTGACTGTCCTAGGGGTACCTCACACGGTCCTAGACAGAAGCCGAACCCAGTAGGAAAAGACTGCTAGAGGTATCGTGGCTCATGAGCTGGGGCGTGGTTAGGGGGCACGCTTTTTGCACTGGTAGAAAGCGGCGGGCGACTTGGGCCATGGTAGAACTCGATTTGATCAAGATCCACCCTCATTTCCCAGAAAGTGGTAAGACACAGCCTAGACACAGCGGAGGTAGAAACCAACAGAGAATGAAGCAAGCTTAAATAAGAGTACAGCGGTCACTGGGCTAGTGTATCCACATCCGTTCTAAATGATATCCAAATCCCTTGATGGATCAAAGCTTCAAGACTTTCCTAGTCGATAAATATGCGTATTTAGATAATTGGAAGCACCAATTACAAAGGCGGTTCAAATTGCTTGTTTGATTGGGCTTTAGGAGCGGGGAAACTAGTTGTACATGTTATATTTATGAAAGCTTCTAGCTCTCAATCAATGCATGGAGGATTTGATTTCCAGCGAGAAAATGACAGGCATGGTTTTTCCATCCTAAAGTTTGTTATTTCCAGTAGTGTTAAGGTATCCCCAATAGACTCCTACGTTATTGTGCACACTAAAGATAAAGATCGCTTCCCTACCATATACCCATTTATGATATTATCATGCCAAAAAACGCCAGATCCAGTAGTGATATACCAAAGGGAAAGAGAAATCGTTGGTGTCTATGGCAGGGGTAGCCCAAGAGCTTGCAAAGGTAAGCAGGAGACAGTCCCATGCACTCTTTCTGCATGGTTCAGGAGTGCCTTTTTTGATTCTAGATCTTCTCCGCAAATATTACACTTGCAGTGCATATCATTCGGGAACAGCTTGATATGCCTATTGACAAAGTATCGATTGAGAGAACCAGGGTTCTTATACATTCTCAGACGCTCATTTTCGGGCAGCCCAGAATTACCAAGACAGATAAAGCAGATCGTTGGTCGAGACTTTTCAGTTTTAACGCAGACAGAAGCGATAGCTTGAGAAAAAGTATCGTCTCTATTTTCTGGAAGAGCAGAATTCTGCCTCTTAGGCATGGGGGCAGCAGCGGCTATGTTACGACCCCGAGGGTCACTTGCACAACTGGCCCGTATGGGCCGACGTACTTGCTAAGTAAGCGCCAGGGGTATAGTTATATATACCGCGCATATGAGATTTAGAACCTTAGCGATTAGTCTACTGAATTGCATGACCCACGCTAGGGACCTCCACTCTAATTCGAACCTCTATTTTTAGGATATACTAGTAGCTAGTCCTAATATTCTAATCGCTTTATTTCACAAATTAGACCGCTAGAACCTATAAGATACCTCAAAATACCTGTAGTAGAAGCTGGGTATTATAGGGAGATATACCCCTACCTACCGGCTAAGAAAACTAAATATAGGATTTATAAACCCCTACTAAGATAGGGGCTATACCTACTAAAAGAGCTATTCCTATAGAAGAGGGGACTACCTAACTAATAGAATCCTCCGATAAGGATATTAGAGAAAATAAAAGAAGGTTTATAGCTAAATAGCGAGACCTTAAGGCCCTTAAAAAACGGCTTATAATTACTAACTAGAAAGCTGAACTCTTACTATATCTTTATAACTAGAACCTTATAGCTATTACCTTAAAGGAGGAATTAAGTATACTATACCTACTATTACTTAAGGGAGATATTACCTAGGTA